AACTTCAGTATAGCGGTTAACAACAGGTTTTTGAGTTTGTTAAAGGTATTACTGAAGTTATAAAAATGTCACTTTTTGAATTTAAAAACTTGTGAACTGCTATATCAAAGTTGTTAACCGTTATATTAGAGTTGTAAAAATTTAAAAAAAAAACGTAATTGTGAACGTTATACTGAAGTTGAAAATTTTTCCAACTCTAATATAACCGTTAACAACTTTTTAATGCCATTCACAACTTCAATATAGCAATTAACAACAGCTTTTCTGGGAAATTCAACAAACTCCGACGACCGGAAACAATTTTTTTTGAAAATTTTTACAACTTCAGTATAGCGGTTAACAACTTTTGTAACCCTATTAATAACTTCAGTATAGCGGTTAACAATAGGTTTTTGAGTTTGTTAAAGGCATTACTGAAGTTATAAAAATGTCACTTTTTGAATTTAAAAACTTGTTGTTAACTGCTATATCAAAGTTGTTAACCGTTATATTGAAGTTGTAAAAATTTTTAAAAAAACGTAATTGTGAACGTTATACTGAAGTTGAAAATTTTTTACAACTCCAATATAACCGTTAACAACTTTTGTAATGCCATTCACAACTTCAATATAGCAATTAACAACAGCTTTTCTGGGAAATTCAACAAACTCGGCGACCGGAAACAATTTTTTTGAAAATTTTTATACTTCAGTATAGCGGTTAACAACTTTTGTAACCCTATTAACAACTTCAGTATAGCGGTTAACAACAGGTTTTTCAACCGCTATACTGAAGTTGTTAATAGGGTTACAAAAGTTGTTAACCGCTATACTGAAGTTGTAAAATTTTCAAAAAAATTATTTCCGGTCGCCGGAGTTTGTTGAATTTCTCAGAAAAGCTGTTGTTAATTGCTATATTGAAGTTGTGAATGGCATTACAAAAGTTGTTAACGGTTATATTGAAGTTGTAAAAATTTTCAAAAAAAAATTGTTTCCGGTCGCCGGAGTTTTGTGAATTTCCCAGAAAAGCTGTTGTTAATTGCTATATTGAAGTTGTGAATGGCATTACAAAAGTTGTTAACGGTTATATTGAAGTTGTAAAATTTTCAAAAAAATTGTTTCCGGTCGCCGGAGTTTGTTGAATTTCCCAGAAAAGCTGTTGTTAATTGCTATATTGAAGTTGTGAATGGCATTATAAAAGTTGTTAACGGTTATATTGGAGTTGTAAAAATTTTCAAAATAATTGTTTCCGGTCGCCGGAGTTTGTTGAATTTTCTAGAAAAGCTGTTGTTAATTGCTATACTGAAGTTGTGAATAGCATTACAAAAGTTGTTAACCGTTATATTGAAGTTGTAAAAATTTTCAAAAAAAAAAATTCCGACCGCCGGAGCTCCGGTGACCAATTGTCGGCTGGTCGCCGGAGCTCCGGTGACCGCCACTGCCGGAGGTCCGGTGACCGGCCGGCCAGTAGGGGCTGTGATATTTTAAAAATAATATTTAAAATGAAGGGCAATGTGGTCTTTTCCTTTCACATAATAATCCCAATTTGGTCTCATGGTACCAAAATGGGATTTGTAGAATTGGGCGGACGTTTCTGGGCTTTTGGAGTTGGAGGTGCATTTTTCTGTCTTTTTCCCAATTTTATTTATAGATTATAAATAAGATTTTGTAATTAAGATTAGAGGTAATATTAAATTTTAAAAGCACTTATTCTTCTAGTTCTATTTATAAGACAGAGAAAAAAAATTTTTTTGGTTCTATTTATAAGTTACCTCATTAAATTTTTATCATAAATTTATCATATTGTTATTTATTTATTATAATATAGATAGTTATTTTTTAAAAATGTATATATTAATATAGATAAAATTAAAAAATTATTATATTTTAATAAAGAGTTAATATATTTTAAAATTTTTTTTATGTGAGTAAAATATATTAAAAGTGTTACTATTTTATAAATAGGATTCAAAGAATATATATTAAAATTGAATTGACTTCATACGTACTACCAACTGTTGCGCTAGTGTCAGTGGAAAAGATTCATCCGTTGAATGCCACTAATAAACTGAACGCTCATTTGTCGCCTCGTGCGCTTGGTCTTTTCCGTAATTCTGTCATCCCAAGTCCCAACTGCTTCCCCCTCCTTGTCTATATTCCTATGTACTCTGCCTCTTTCAGACTTTATATATAAGTATTTTTTTTTTTTTGCTTGTAACAACTAATTAACCAAATCAGAGGGATTAAAATATTAGTTAATATTAGTTAAAAGAGAGGGAATGACTGAGGAAAACATGAAAAGAAATATAATTAATTGAAGGTAAAAATGTATTGGCAAAAAAAGAGATAAGAATGAAAAAAATTAATTAAATTTTTCGATAAACCCAACTTATTGCCTATATGCAAGAACACCTTATCTGAGAAAATTTTGTTTATATATAGGGTTTGAGGAAGTATAAACGACTAACTAAATTGTGTAAATCAAAATATTAATTAAAATTAGTTTAATTATGTCAAATATATAATTTATCTTTTAAATATAGACTTATTTATAAAGAAAGAAAGTGAAAGACAATGCATGATAATTGATGTAAAAACATGTATTTAATGGGGTAAAAATGAGAAAGTTCAGTTTAAAATTAAAAAAGCGTTGATTATATTTAAGGCCAACTTCATGTGAGGGAATGCTGTTTATATATAGGAGTGGATAAAGTATAAATTAATTTAAGGGTTAATTTGCACATCTACCTATAAAATATTCACTATGGATATGTAACACTATAAACTTTTTTTTAGTGCAAAAGTATACATGAAAAAAATGAAAAAAAAATGTTATAACTGTTAAGTCAATTAACATCGACCGTTTACTCGGCATGTAGGTAAAGAAAATAGTGTAAAAATATATATAATTTTCAAAATGGTATAAAAATACCATAATCGTTAAAAACTTCATGCCTATTTTTGCACAATTTTAAAAACTTTATGTGTATTTTTTTCTAATTTATGTGTTTTAATTGTTTGTTAAACAATCAATGTTAATTAACTTAATAATTGTAGTTTTTTTGGTGTCATTTTAAAAACTTAATGTGTATTTTTGTACTTAGAAAAGTTTGTGTTGTTTTGATGCTCTTAATAAAATATATTATAGGTAAATTTGTACATTAACTCTAATTTTATCTACATTATACACGTATAAAGAAATTTTTAAAAAAAAAAATAATTGAATTTTTTTTATACTTATATTAATTTTTTAAAAAAACCCAAAAATGACCAAAAATTTGTGCTCCCTCGTGAAAAAATAAATTTACAGTTTTGTCCTTCTGTCTATGATTCCGAGGTTTTGCTTGCTTCTACGATACGTTTCCTACTTGGCATCTCTCAAATTGTGGTTGGTTTTCGTGGATGGATTCCCAACTGTATTCCTTATCAAACCATGCAGCACAGTAATTATTACTCCCTCCGTTTCTTATTATAAGAGACATTTGATGCTTATGGCATGTTTTTATATATAAGAGACACTTAAAAGTTGTCTCTACTTTTTTGTGTTGATTTCCTATTTTACCCATATTTATTGTCTCCAACTCACACACTCTCTCCTTCCCACTTCACTTTCTTTTAATAATTTACCATTGTTCTCCCTCATGCTCTCTCTCCTTATTAATGAGGGTATTTTTTAAAAAAAATTATACTTTTTACACATTAATTGTTTTAAACTAATTTTAACTATTTTTTTTATCAACGTAATTCGGTTATTCGTCTCTTATAATAAGACGGAGGGAGTATAACCTTAGGTAACTAGTAATCCATAGATAATCAACATTATTTAAAATTAATTAAAAATAATAAATATATTAAAAATATACTTTTATTTTTAAATATACTATTAGAATAAATGGGAAAAAAATGAAAGAGAATATGTTAAAAAAATATGATTAAAAATATCACGATAAAGGAGAAAAAATAAATAATTAAAGGTAAAATTTGAAAAAATGTATTAAATATGAAGATAAAATTAAATTAAAATTTATAAAATGGATCATATTCCTCCCCTTATTAAGAGCTTATAAATAAGAGCGGAAAGATTTTTTTTTTTTTTAATCCTAGTACCAAATACGGTGTGGACTTGACTTCCTTTGCACCTTTTCACCAAACACGCCTTGAGACTCACGTAATATAGTCTCGTGCTGTATTATTGTTATTTAAAGTTATGACTTAGAGTAAATGCATTATGTAATTAATGTAAAATATTAAATTAAGTTGATTAAAGTACCTTCACTTAATCTCTTTGCTTAACAAAATAATGAGAGAGAAACATAAATACTCGTATCAAACAAGGATATATTTTTCTGCCCAAATAATGAGGATGTAATTGAAAAAAGATTAATTGCTGGTTATCTCAGCAACAACTTCATGTATGTATGGATGAAATCCTAATTCAAACTTACTGTTAATATATTTGTATGTGTCCGTAGTTTAAATTGTTAAAAAATAAGTTTAACAGGTTATTTTAATATTTTTGCATTCTATAAAATAAAAACTCTTTATTTCATATAACACACAATTTCATATCCAAGACTATTTTTTAGCGGTGGATTTAAATTAGTAAAATAAGAAAATTTTTAATATAAGAAAGTCTAAAATATATGGGTACGAATATGCATGTAAATCAGGTAAAAAAAAAAATCTGCATGTAAATGTTTCTTCTTTTTACTTTTTTTATTTTTATATAAAAATGCATGTGAATATTTGTCCTTTATAAGTTGATGCAAATCTCAAATCTGAGTTCGTGTCACCGTACCGGAGCAGCCGCCACTCTCGGCGACGGGCTCCGGTGTCCAAATTCATACGCAATTTGACCGTTCGAATCTGTCTCTATCAGTCTCCGGGGGCGCATCACTGTTCCCAACCTGCGTGGGTCCCTATTGCCTTCTTTCTCTCCTCTCGTGTATATATATGCATCCGAAGTCCTGGCTTCCGCAAGGCCGCAATCTTGGAAGCCTCTCCTCCACCCACTCCAATTGCTCCTCCCTGTTAGAAAGAGAGGAGAGACAGAGATAGAGCAGAGATTCTCGGCACTAGAGCTGTGGGATATACTTTGAGGGTAACTGTATTACCAACACCAACTCTGTTGATTCTTTTTTCTGATTTCGATTGCTTTGTCACCTGCTCCTCTCTTTGCATGCTCCAACGGACGAATAAATTTACCCAAGATGGTGGGAGAACAATTCTATTGGAATAAATATAGATTTCATTTGCTTATAATTGAATCTGCTACTTGTCCATTGGCTTCTTACATATCATGTCTGTCCCTTTATCATGCATTTGGCTGTTTATTTATACTTGTCATTGTCTTTTTAAACTGCGTTATACGATGTTTCTTAGAATGTAAGTATTCTTTCTGGGCTAATAATACCATTTCAGCTACCTCCCGTTTTCCTTCACGTTAACATCTGCTGCTCTGTCACTCCGTTCGTGGTTTCCTGCATGCACAAATGAATTTACACAGGACAGAGCAGAATTCAATTGGAATGGATATTCAATTCAATTTTTTTGTGTGTTTAAATTTGCAATTTCTCCATTGGCTTGTTGCACGTCATGTCTGCATTCACTATCTTCTTTTTTTTTTCCCCCTTATTGTTTTCGTATCACCAGTTAGTTAAACTGCATTCTCGGATGTTTCTTAGAGTAATTTGGTTTTTCAATTTGCTTCTCTATATCTTCCCCTTACATGGATGCCATGCAATCATGTTAGATTTCCCTCTCTACAATTACATGCTCAAAATCTGCTACCTTTCCTTGAATTGGTTATCATACTCAAACTAATTTCATGCTTTTTTTTTTTTTTTTTTTTTTTGGTGGAGAAGGTGAGATAATTGTTGCTGGAGACTAGTTGTTCATACCAGTTATTTGAAACTTTTCCCCGTAAAGATGGCCTTCTCTTTGGTTTCGTCTTCTTCTGAGCCGCCGTGTTGTGCAAGTGAATGCGTGCACCACACTTGTGCTAGTTTTCTCTTGTCTAGACCTCCTGTAAGTATTTCTTGTTTCATTAAGAAAAACAACGTGCAAGCAATAAGGAGTGCTGCGGGAAGGAGGGCTATCTCCAGCCAATTTATACCTAGCCAGATAGAAGAGTCATATAAAAGAAAGAAACACCTCCAGGAGCCTATAAAGAAGCTAGATTTTGTAAAGACATTGTTGATTGACAACTATGACAGTTACACATACAATATATACCAGGCGTTATCTGTAGTTAATGGTGGTATGTCCTCTCTCTCTGCCCCCCTATCTATTGTGCTTGTTTTTGTGTATGAGAGTGAAAGACGTAAAAAGCTGTTATCAATCATATTTGCGGATTATATTTAGACTGGGATTTTTCTTTTTCTTTTTTTTTTTTCCTTTCTTTTTTTGCCTCTTTAACATTGTATTGAATGTTGAAGCTTCTTCTCTGAATACATTAAAATCTATTAGAAGATACTGTACACTGAGGTCTAAAATGGCTTATAAAGTGTAGTGAATTGATCTCCATTGTAACAACTGCTTTGGTTTTCTATTATCTCAGTGCCTCCTGTGGTGGTCCGAAATGATGATTTGACATGGGAAGAACTTTGCTATTACTTGTATGAGGAAAATGCATTTGATAACATTGTAATATCACCTGGGCCTGGTTCTCCGGCATGCCCAAAAGATATAGGTGAGATGCATCTCTGCCAATAATCTTTGAGACAAATTACAAATTGATGGCAGTAAAATGAATATTTTTTGGGGGACATTAGTGATGTGGCATATTAATTGTTCATGATTTAGTATCTCTGATTAATGCTCTGCAAGCTATAATCGAAAAGTTAGTTGTTGCACATGTAATTTAATGCTGCTTCATGACTTATGAATGAATTGGATCCTTGTTTTGATTACATATTTTTTCTTAGACCCGTTTGTACACTCCTTTGCGGTTTAATGGAATTTCACTCACACCTGTGAAATATTTAGGTGCAAGTTCAGTCCTCTGGATCAAGAAGCAGGACAAAAACTAACTCTGGCTAATAGAAAATTCACATAATTATTACTTAATGACCTCTTTTTGTACCTTACTGTCATCATAGGTTCTAACATCATTTATAGTTTTACATCATTTACAAGTAAATTTTGATTTTTGGTTTTGCTTGAACTGACATAATTTATATGTATGATTATATTTGGATTTTGGAACTGCATCTGAAGATCATTGAGGTGTCAATTATGAAAGTAATTGAAAGTGTGTAAAAATTTGACAATTTCTTAGAGCACATGGAATCTAACTGAAAGATTGTAAAGATTTCACAAGTGGAGTAACTTCGACACCCTTTAGCTGCATAGAGTGTAATGATAATAATCATGCCCACCTTTATTTTCAAAATTACCCAGTATAGTTTCCAGAACTTCATATCATGAACAAATGACCGCTAAATGCTTTTATAGTTGAATATCAAGTGAATACTATTGGCTGATATTTGTTTCATGAGGTGTAGAGGTTTCTTTACGTTTAATAGCATTGTAAATGAATTTGGAATATGTAGGTATTTGTCTTCAGCTGTTGCTCAAATGCTGGGACATCCCTATTCTGGGTGTTTGCCTGGGACACCAGGTATTTAGTCTTCTTTTTTGCAAGATAGCTTGCCTTTCTGTGCCTGTGATTACAATATTTGTTGCTTTATTTCCTTTTTTCCTCATCCTGTGTGAGATGTTGACGATAGTCACAATTGCATACGTTTGCTCATCTGAACTCTTTTTGTTTATTAGCTTGCCTATCCATTTTGACGCTTATCTCTGTTTCTGTTTGATTTCTTTTTCCTATATTTATGGGTTTGCCACATATAGAGGCTTGGTTATAAAGCTTTAATTATAAAGTTGGAAAGAAAATAAAAAGGAAAAAAGTTCTAGAGTTTGTTTGGCCTGATATTGAAGGCCTTCTGAGTTGATTTTGCAAGAAGGTCGTGATTTCCTTAATAATGCTATGCCACGCACTAGAAGGAGTAGGTTGATGCAGTAATATCATAAAACATGACATAATTATCCAGTTGTACTTCAATCTGCATGCATTAAATAACATGAAAATTTCCATCTGTTGCTATTCGGATCTAGTTGTTTAGACCTTTCTTCATCTTTCGTTTTTGGCAGTGTTAGAAATATAATTCGTTTTTGGAGGAGGAAATCCGTATTCATTGTAAAATTACTCACTAAGGCCTCCTCAAACTTTATTTGATGTCGCAACTCGCATGACATGAGTTAATCCTGGTTTTATTAATGTTGTGATTCATTTTTTATGAATTTTATTGTTAGATTTTGTACTCTAGCCTTTTAGAATTGCTCTGATTTTCTTTTTGATTTAATTGCTTGACATATGATTTAATAGGCTCTAGGTTTTGTGCATGGAGCTCAAGTTGTCCATGCACCAGAACCAATCCATGGACGTCTGAGGTATGATTATATCTTTTGAAAGTTGACCGTCTCATTTTTCTATATTTATGACCTAATTGTTACAATTAGGAAGATTAGGTTGCCTGTAAGTGTCATTTTACTAATTTATTAAAATGTTCTTGCAAGCATAGATGCCTCATTCTCTCTTCTTATAACTTTTCTGCTGCACAGTGAACTTGAGCATAATGGTTGTGAGCTTTTTCATGAAATTCCTTCTGGCAGAAATTCAGGATTTAAGGTCTGTTTACCTCTTTATATTTGGAAGAATATGACTATGCTGCCTGTGAATTTTTAGAGTTCAAATCTTGCAAATGGTATTTGAGATAATGATACATGGGACATACAAGTCTTTTAAAGCATTTTGAAACTTTAGAATTTAATTATTTTATGAGATTTTTTTTTTCATTGGATGTTCTGTTTAGGGGTGAGTTGTTTCCATCCTTTAGGATTTTTGGTGAGCACTGTATTGGCCCACTGACTCTTGGTCACTTTTCTCTGCCCAATTTAGATTTTGGGAGAATAAAGGAGGGGAAGGTCCCCCTCCCCCCCCCCCCCCCCGGGGCATAACTAATGTACATGGTTGGAGCAAAATGCTAGAACCACTACTGGTGCATCTTTTTTAAAATATGACAGTATTTTTTCTATAAAATACACATTTCCTTTGTTTTTTAATCTTCATTTCCTGGATTCTCCTTTTCTCTATAGACATTCTTCTCTTATCCAAAAAAACAAATATTGCACTGGAAGAGGATATATAAACTGGAATCCATTACCGAATGACATCAGCAAAGTGATTTTGCTTGCAATTGTTGATTGTCGCTGAAATACTTGTATCTGAAGTAATCACGCAGTCAATCGTTTGGGTAATAGTTTTATAAATGCAAGTTGGGACGAAGTAATTCATTCTTTTGTCTGTTTGTACTTGTTTTCCTTCAATACGTTTGTTTCTTGTGTCAAGTTAATTAAGATTTATCTGATCCATGACCAGCAGTTTTAAAATTTGTGTTTCTTCATAATTGAAGGTGGTTAGATATCATTCACTTGTCATAGATCCTGAATCACTTCCACAAGAGCTCATCCCCATAGCATGGACCGACTCTGCTGGCACTCTTCTTAGGTCTAAGGAGTCCAACAATACCAATCCTTCTGAAGCCCCAACAAAGGGAAGCATGTTTGCTGATTCTGTTTCTGCTGAAGTAGAAAATAGAAGTTCAAACCTTTCAAGTCATTATGGCCCCACAAAAAGAACAAGAGTTCTTATGGGCATCAAGCATTCTACAAGACCGCATTATGGTTTGCAGGTAATATGTACAGAAATGATATTTTATAGTTTCAGCTCAGTGATTTATATTTATTTTCACTTTTGTCAACTTTGTCCAACTCAACAATTTTTACCTTCAGTTTCATCCAGAGAGTATAGCTACCAGCCATGGAACACAAATATTCAAAAATTTTAGAGAGATTACATATGATTATTGGCTGAGATTTGAGTCATCATACAACAGAGGAAAATATGCTCACTCTGCAGGTAACCTGGAGAACTTTGTAAACAGAAATAACTGTCTATCCTATCATTCCTATGTGCTCTTCAGACTTTCCTGTTTCAAAATTATTTTGGGAAATTGATGTTATTCTTTACAGTTTGGGAGGCATCCTTTCTGCTTACGGTATTTTTTTATACATCAGATATAGGCCTCTTGAATAGAGTTAAGTGGTTTAATGGGCCATTTAGCTTTTGTTTCATTACTTGCTCCATATTACTTCTTAATTTCCCTTGCCCTTTGACTTATTTATGTTGATCCCTTGTAATTTACTCTGAGCAGTAAACTTTCTTTATTCTAGTCAACTGGCTAGAGAAGGTCACGGCAGTGTAAATTCAGAGAATAATGTGTTAAATCAACAAAACAAAGCGTCTTCTAAAGATGGACATTTAATGCATTATACTGCTGAGATTGATCCTTCTGAAATGTCCAACATGGTCAATCGTAATCATGCAAGTATTGCTTATAAATGCCTGAAGTTGAAATGGAGGAAATTTGATCACTTTGCTGGTCAAGTTGGTGGGGCGAAAAACATATTTTGTGGATTGTTCGGACATCATAAAGCTGAGAACAGCTTTTGGTTAGATAGCTCCTCCACAGAAGAGGTATGATCATGATTCTGTGCTTCCTTTGACTTATCATGTTTATTTTCTTAGGGTCTTAACACTGACTTATGTAGGGAAGGGCACGGTTTTCATTTATGGGTGGTCGAGGTGGATCGCTTTGGAAACAGTTGTCATTTAGATTGTCAGATCAAAGGTTTGATATCTATCCTGTTAAATTATATGCGTTGTGTTAATTAATCGTCTTCATTTTCTGGATATACTTGAAGTGATCAATGTCATGTTCTTTCCCAGAAATGGAAATTTACAAGGTGGAGGCTTTATGTCAATAGAAGATGGCCAAGGTTCTACCAAGAGCATGTTTTTGGAAAATGGATTTTTTGATTTTTTGAACAAGGTACTGAAATTTGTTTTGAATTGTTTGACACTTCATTCTTGAATGATACAGTTATCATTGTAGGTTATATAGCTTCCGATGTCAGCATTCCAACTCATAAACAGCCGTTGTCACATGCCAAATTGAGTTTTGACTCTCATACATGCTTGATAATGTCGCAGGAGCTTCAATCATTTCGTTATAATGAAGAGGATTTTGAGGGTCTGCCATTTGACTTCCATGGCGGATATATTGGTTACATAGGGTAGGTGGCAAAATAAACTTTTCCTACTTGTTAGTGCCTACTTCACAGGCAATACTGTTTACTTTTGCATTCCTCATTTGATTATTTAAAATAGCCTTCACAACCTGCTATAGTTAATCCTTCATATTTTATGTTTGTTGTATTTGAACCTTGTTGTTTTCTCTTGGTTCTTGACCCCACCGCAACCTCCTTTCATAGTGGGTTTACCACTACCACTTTACACTAATAATTAATAATTTCTTCCAATGCAGGTATGACCTCAAACTTGAAAGCGTTGACACATCTAACCGTCACAAGTCTAGAACTCCAGATGCGTGTTTTTTCTTTGCTGATAATCTCATTGCTATTGACCACCTGAACGATGATGTTTACATATTGTGTGTACATGATGGAAGCCAAACTATGACACCATGGTTGGATGATACAGAGGAGAAGTTGATGAACTTAAAAAATTCTATGACGAGAGAGTTGAAAAGGCAGGAATCGCTTGCTCCTACTTTCCCCCCACTTAAGGCTGGATTTGTTTCTGAAAAATCTAGAAAGCAGTACATTGATGATGTTAACAAGTGTTTAAACTACATTAAAGATGGAGAAAGCTATGAGTTGTGCCTTACAACTCAGATAAGAAAAACGATTAAGGAATTAAACTCTCTTGGACTTTATCTACACTTGAGAGAAAGAAATCCGGCACCTTATGCTGCTTGGCTTAATTTTTCAAACCAAGACCTCTGTATTTGCTGTTCTTCCCCTGAGAGGTTCTTGAAGTTGGATAGGAATGGTATGCTGGAAGCCAAGCCCATCAAGGGTACCATAGCTCGTGGTGCTACAAAAGAGGATGATGAGCGACTCAAATTGAAGCTACAGTTCAGGTGACTGATATCACCTCTTGGCAGCTGTAAATCTATCCATATCCATTTCAAGCACAATTTGCACGCTTAAGATCAAAGTTTATGGAAATGTGTTGAATAACGTGGAAATATTAGAAACAAATCAAAATGTGTTTTGCCCGCATAAGTTTGCCCATAGAATCTGTTTTAAGGAATATTGGTATTATGACCTATATGGAGTTAAGATAATCTAGAATTTTAGGTTTAAAAAAAAAAAAGTCCCGGAGTTTGAACATCTGATGTCTAATGCCCACCATAATCATATCTGATCTATATATAATGCCCTCATGCCAAACACAGGTCTTATACAATATTTTTAGAATTTTGAAATGCTTGCACATAAAACATGCCGGCATAACAGATGGACATTTACATGGTGAAACTCAGAAACTCTCATGAACTGATTATCTACTTCTCTCTCTTCCTCCCTCCCTCTCTCTCTCTCTGCAGTGAAAAAGATCAGGCTGAAAATCTGATGATTGTTGACCTTCTAAGGAATGACCTTGGTCGTGTCTGTGAACCTGGTTCAGTTCATGTGCCTCGTCTCATGGATGTGGAATCATATGCAACTGTTCATACCATGGTGAGTACAATCCGAGGGAAGAAGCTATCATATGTGAGTGCCGTAGACTGTGTCAAAGCTGCGTTTCCCGGTGGCTCGATGACGGGTGCGCCCAAGTTGAGATCAATGGAACTTCTGGATTCTCTTGAAAGCTGTTCCCGAGGTATCTACTCTGGTTGCATTGGATTTTTTTCCTATGACCAGACATTTGATCTAAATATAGTTATAAGAACAGTCATTATCCATGAGGGTGAGGCTTCAATAGGAGCTGGAGGGGCCATTGTTGCTCTGTCAAATCCTGAAGATGAGTATGAGGAGATGATCTTGAAATCACAGGCTCCAGCAAAGGCTGTGGTGCATTTTGAGTAGTGTGATCACTAACAACGGCTTTGTTAGCTTTTAGGCAGTGTGTGAGAAAGTTTAGATAGTGTTCTTGCAATCAAATAATCTAATAATCGCTTTTGGGATATGATGTAATCCATTTTCTTATAATGAAGGTCTTAGTTAGTGTTGTTTTATGAATTTCGTGACAATATCCTAAAGTTGGTAGTGCTAATACATATGATATAAAGATTATGCTTACGCTGGGCTCTAATTTTGTTGGTATTTCTAACTACAGAGTTATTGTTTTAAATGCTCTTTTCATGACACTTTGTTCTTATATGTAAGTCATTTGTGCCTTATTCTCGTATACCAAAAAAATGCATTAAATTGATAAAAATTTTCATGCTTGCCGCTATTAAAGAAAGGGTATTGAAAAAAATATGATATATATATATATATATTTTGTCTTACCTATTTTCTTTATTCTATTTAATAAGGATAAATTTAGAAAAAGATCATTACTTATTCTACGGATTTACGTTTAAGAAATTTTTGTTTCCTGCAAGTAAATTACATATAGAAACTGAGTGGTATTAACGATGATTGCAGCATGCAAATATATTTATGAACTTACTCACAAAAAGAAATCCAAACAATGCACAGCTTGTTCATACTATTTGAGTACTGAGTTGCAGATTCTGATCTCTGTCTTGCAGGTACTTCATGGTATTACTCCCTCTGTAATTTTTGTAAATCACTTCTGTCATGTTGATTGGAAAAAAAAAAAAACTTCAAAACTCATTAATTTTACATTAAAATTAAACAACTTTTTAATTTTTTTCATATTTAGTATATACAATTTTTTAAAAAATAATAGTTTATACGATAATAAATAAATGGTAAAATAACATCCACATTAAAAATTTTAACGATGTTACTTATAAGTATGACCAAAACAAGTTTTTTTATGCCTTATAAATAAGACCAAGTACATTTTTTTAAGTAGTCATGATTTTATTTATAAGATTCACTCGAAAGATGTTTGAAATTTTATTTTATTTTTTAAATTTTTGGCCTCATAAATTACATGCTATCTCATTCTACTAATTTAATTAACCTCTCTCACCTCTTTTTTAACTTATTCCCTCTTTCTCTCTCACTCTCTCCCTCCTAATAACTAATGACATTTTTGAAAATAAAAATATATCTTTTACACATTTGTTCCTGAACAGAAAATTGAAAAAAAACAGTAATAGTATCGGGCTATTTAATTTAAACTGATGACATTTTAATCAATTATTGCTATAATATTCATGTTTTGTTCCGTCAACATACTCTTTACTCTGCAGGCTTGTTTAAATGATTGATGGCGAAAACAAAAGGGCTCGTTTAAATAATACTTTTTTCACTTGTTAACATAATACATTTTCATTAATCTATTCGCAACTGTTCCTACCATTTTTACATGTCAATTTTCTAAAATTTGAGAGTAACTTCCATATAAAAATTCTTAAAATTTTAAAAAACTGGCTTATAAAATTTGAGGAAAACTAAAAAAAACACAAAGATGAGTTATAAATATCAAAATTTGATTTTAAATTTTGAAGGAGGAGTTACAAAACATTATAAAAATATTAATGAATAAGTTGTAATAAAAAATGAGGGGAAAAATTTTAAATGAATTTAAAATTAGAGCTCACAACTTTTTATTTAAATAGTGAGAGTTCCTATCACTCACATCGTTATGAGCTGATTTGTTTTTGAAACTTTATTTTAACAAAGCAAATTGTAAAATTTTAGCTATGTTTTAAAAAAGTGGAAACATGATTTCTTCCAACTTAAACCTTTTTTTCTTTTTTTTTTCTTTGAAACAAGAAAATAAAGCAGATGTCTTTTTTTTTGTATTGATTACCAGACGTGCTAACGTCTTCATGAGCTGATCCCGATGAGAACAGAACAAGTTTATGTAAATCTATCTTTTTATTATTATTTTTCTCACATTTTTACCAATATATAACTCAGTATTTTTGCATGATAGTTTTTTTTCTTTAATTTAATTTAATTTTTCTCTCCATCCTCCTCATGCGTATGCTTTGTAACTTAGAAACTTGGGGCCAACCAATGGAGACTGTGATTTTCTTACCATCTTCCTTCCGTTTCTTTCTTTTGAAAATTAAATCTTCTAGTCAATAACCTTTGGATCTAGTACTACTCATTCAGTCTTAAATATAAAACTCTTTTTATAGTGTAAATTACATTACAAAAGAAGTCTTATATTTAGGATTGAAGGAATATATAAATTTTCTTACAAGTTAAAGGTCTGGGATTTGATCTCAAGCGGTTACTATTTGTCGAATTAGATGAAAAAAAAACTCTCTTTTTTCATTCTCCAACTTCTCAAGAAGTTTAGTGCATAAATTCAACAATATGATGCTTGAATAATAGTACTCCTTCTAAGTTCAAAATTAATTTACAGAAATTAAAGAAATAAGTTAAATTAATTATTTGTAAAAAAATGTGTTGATTTTTTTTTTTTTCAAAATATGCTCTTCAATCATTATTTGCATTGTAAGTGCTTTTAATGGAAACCCCTCTATTATGTTCATATATTCATTTGGTGGGGCTAATATGGGAAAAAATTTATAAATTTGCGAGAAAAAATGAATTGAGGTTTTACATTTAAAATCAAGATAAATTCTTAATTAAGTACTTGTTTAGAACAGCTTAATATAAGCACATTTACATAAATTGAGACAAAATTCTTCTTATATACTTATTTCATATTTCATAAATTATGATTGAAAAGTTATTTTTGAAAGATTATACTCCTCTGGTTTTTACTATGAGGTCTAATTGTTAAGTTGATCTTGGTCTTAAATATAAGACTTATTTCTTATATTTATTAATTTTTCTAAATTACTCCTAATACTTCCTCAATCATAATCAAGTAGGAGAGGGAGAGAGGATATTACGGAAAATAATTATGATGTTTTAGGAAATACATGTCATATTTCTTATAATTAATTAACTTACCTAGCTTCTTTAATTTAATTAAATTAGTTAAATAGATTTTCTATTAAGGATAGGAGGAATACAATCATTCCATATAAGCATTAACTCTAACTTACAACACACACACACATTTTACAGGGTAATTTAGAAAAAAATTGATAAATATGAGAAATAGATATTATATTTATGACCAAAATCAACTCAACAATAAGGTCCTATATTAAAGACCGGAGGAGTATATAAAGAAAATAGCCCCTTAAGTAACAGTGAAATTGGCGGGGTATTATCGTCGATAATGATGATGAAGATAACAACACACGCTTCGTCCATAAAGTGTCGTCATTCTGATCAATCTCCACCTTTCCTAGAAGGGACGGATCTTGACGAAGGAAGATAGTTATCGTATTGTTTAGTTTTGGTTTGAATAGAAAGTTATCCGGTTCTTATTCCAAAAAAAGTAAAAAAAGAAGATGGAGCAGATCAGAACCTAACCAAAAAATGCATATGAAAGAGAGTCTTTATTCATTCCTACCAAAACTGGTTATTTTTATTTTCATTTTGTGTAAATATAAGAGTCTTTTTCAGGATTTTTTTTTTGTTTTTAAACTTTTATCCTTTATCCATTTTTTATATCCTACGTATTACAGACGTGTGTGTGTGTGTGCGCGCAGGCTATAAACACATTGTGGTAGCTTTGTAGGAGGAGTTGGAGTACGTTGGTGTTTTTGGGACCAGTAGATATGGATGTGATTTGATTTCCTCATGGCAAATGACAGCACACTCCTCCTTCTTCTTCTCTTTCCTTCTTCAATTACTGCAAATCTTCTGCAACTGCAACTCCACTTTTCTTCTTCTTTATATATTTGGTTTCTGGGTAGTTTTTCTTGCTTCATTGCATAATCATAATGGCGTTTTCTATCTCCAACAGCATCACATTTCTTCTATCCCCATCAGTTCCTCGTCCTCATCGCATTCACAGGCCATTCCGTAAGCTTTCTCTTCCTCTCCTTTCTTCTGCTTCTTCCCATCATCACTCTTTTGTTGGCTCTTTTCACGTTTTTATCATTTCTATCAATTTTATGTGTGTAAAGAAAGTTTTTTTTTTTTTCAATGTATGTAGATTCCAACTTGTGTTATACTACCTCTTATCCTAAATATAAGAGCTAGTCGACTAATTTGAGTAGATTAAAAAAATAAATTAAGTTAGTTATTTGTTATAAATAAGTGTTGTATTTTCTAAAATGTTTTTACTAATCAATGTATTGGTTAGAACTATCATTATTAGAAAGACTATCTTAGAGAAAAAAGAATAAATATAAGAGACAAAATGGATTAGGGTTTTATATTTAGGACCAAAATAAAAGTCAAACAAGATCTTATATATATTAAGGATGGGAGGTGGTATATTTAAATGATATAGTAAATCTCTTAAAAATGACCGGTGTCACATGAGCACTTGAAATTTTCTAAGCACTCATGTGTAACTTATCTTTAATGGGTGTAAATATTCTTCAATTATGTATAGAACAAAATGACATTTGTAAGATATGTTTTAATCTGCACGCTACTAAAGAAGAGCTGCACATTTCATCTAAAAAACAAAGTTGTACTTGCTAAAGATAAGTTATACTCGCTCAAACTCAGATGTCTTTAGGTGCTGATAAATTTTACAATAAGAGATTTTTACAGCCATTTTCCTTTCTTCTTACTGGACATGTAATTTCTTTTTAGAATATTTTTAATTATAAAATTAACAATTTACAAAGAGATCATAATTATTTTTTAAAAAATAACTTACACATATATTTTAACAAGTTTATTTTACTTTTAATACTACCAATTTTTTATTGTAAAAGATAACCTGACTCATACCATTTTATACTAATAAAATGTGTAATTCACCTTCACACACACACACACACACACACACACAGAGGCTTAAGCTTCCCATTGGCAAGAACTAATCAGAACGCAACAACTTTGGTATAGAAAATGGAAGGCATAAGTATGTCAACTATCGAGGGAAGTAAATCAACAAAACATCAATATTGTTTCTTTCTTTCTTTATTTTTTTATTTAATTGACATATTTGCTTATTTAAATAAAGTGAGGGGTCTGTTTTTTTTTTTTTCCTTACTACGTATAAGTATCTTTTTATTGAAGGCGATCCTATTTCAGTCATTATCAGACACTAAATGTGAGCACTCTCTCAGTTGACATTTGAACCTTGGTTATTTTTTTAATATCATTGGTTAATGCTTAATTACAGA